TATGTATGTGTGTGTGAGAGAGAGAGAATGTTGAGACTGTTCAGAATAGTAATGACAATTTAAGCTGAGGTGGATCATGGTTGGTAGCATGGATGCAATGCTATAGAAATGCCCAAATCAAGATCAGACATCACATTTCCTTTTATTTTGTGACGTTTCATCACAGAAGCGCAAAAAGCATTAAACCTCTTCACATATGTAGCTGTGGACTTAATGAAGCCGCCTGCCACCATTCACTAATGTTTGCTCTATGCATCGTCTCTGTAGTAGCTGGACGTGTGGACAGTTTATAGGCCTTTCATAAGTGCCTTTGCAAAAAGAAGCCTGATCTGAGATCAGCCCGGATGGTTGAACCAGAGTTCTGAGAAAGTTTAGAACTTCAGTTCATTGTCAGTGATTGTGGATGATTTTGAGGGCTGATCTGAGACCAGGACAGCTTAGAGCGCGCAGCAAAACTGAGGTTTTGAAGGTAGGCCGGAGCGGCGGCCAATGGGTTAACTCGTCAGAATGCACTCGGGCTAAGACAGACCACTGTGTAACTATCATTCTACTTCTTCAACATATATTTAACAATGTAGAGTGTACTATATATAGTATGCAGATAAATCTGTTTAAAAAAAAAGAAAAAAACGTATATATGACTATATATTACATGTATTTTTACTAGGTCATATACCTTGGAACGTCTGGCAGTTGAGTCATGTCTTAAAGGTATTAGCATGTATTTTTTTTATATTTAGTTTTATGTTTGTGGTTGTCAGTCACTTATTGATATATTCATTTAAAAACACACTATGAAGCAAAGTTTGCAGGGTAATACCTTTAAGATTTTTCCTCAGATCTGTTTAAATGTTAGTGACTTTTCAATGTTTGTTCTTTTTTTATTATTCAGAAGGCAAAAAACAATCTTCCTTAAAGCTATATCCTATATCTTATTGTGCCAAATTCCACTAAAACAACTTTATCCTTTTTATTCCTATTTTGCACTTGTTTATCTATAAACCTTAAAACATATATTTGTTCCATAGGTTTCTAGCATACTACCAATAGGTACTATCATTTCTGCTGTAGGTAATTCAAGTTTTTACGAGTCGTATCGGTTCTTTACATTTCATTGATGGCCTTTTTATTCTTAATTAAAAAAAAAGATCACTTCTCACAAGAGTTGAAAAAAGGGATATATTCTTGCACATTTTTTTCTCAAATAAAAAGTTGTCCACTTGTTTGACTATTTGGGCTAGAAGAATAAGCAGAATCAAACTGTAACGTTACTATTTTTCTGAGTAGTTTGTGTAAGGCTATGCTAGAGCAGGATGTAACGTGAAATTATAAGTTTAGGAAAAGGGTCCTTAAGAAGTCTACAGTAGATGTCAGGTACTGATTGAACTGTTTTATTAAAAAAAGAAAGAATGTGATTTGTATGTTGAGACATTAACATGAGAATAAAACTCATTTTTCTGTATCACAGCATTGACTCAGTCTGCATTTTTGTTTGTCCTCCATTTTATTTTCCCTTCCAACTTAAAAAAAGCTTCTTTTTGTAACTTCTCTTCCCACATCACCCTTATTGTATCAAGAAGCATTTATACAGTAAGTTTCAGATTCTTGAGAATGACAGGAGCAAGCCTTCACTGAAATAGGTTTTTCTTCTTGAAAAATGCTAAAGGACGCAAGTCCATCCATCGCTGAAGGTAACAAAAATAAAATAGAATAAAAAAATCGGTGGGTGGCTGATAAAACGCCATCATTGAGAAGGCAATGTGGCAATATCTGCCTGAATCTCAAAATGCTAAAAAAAAATTCCTGAAAATGTAAAACAGGAAGACCAAAAAAACAAAAAACTGAAAAGCAGAGGACGCTTTGGCTTTCTCTTTCAGCAAATAAATCCCGTTGCAGTTTAATGCCATATACCACTAGAATACACACTTGTGCTTAATTTTTTTTATTGCTTTACCTTTAACATGTATTTCAGATGTAAAGCTTTAAGTAGTTTTATATGAGGAAAAACCCCACTCCTTTGTTTCAAAATATTTAGTTGATCTGTAGTTAAAATAGGAAATTGAAAACAATATTCAACCTTATTTTATGTTTAGAAGCTTTTAGCATTTGTTGATTGTTTTTGCTACATTTCCAGTGTTTTAATGTCAATTTTACATTTCCTCCAAAGGATTTTAATGGTGCTAATTGGTTAAGAAAGTCCCATCAGTGTATAATTTCATTTGTAAAGGCCTCAGAGGTTTGGTAACATAATTGGACATCATCATGAAGACCAAGGAGCACACTAAACAGGTCAGGGATAAAGGTAATGGGAAGTTTAAAGCAAGATTATGTTATATTAACTTATAAAACATGATTTCCCACTCCTCTTTACAATTATCAAATTTTCTGTATTGATCATATTCCTAGTAAAAATTAATAGCAAAAAAAGTGGTTGATACATGAAAAAATATGGAAAGTTCAGGCGGTATGGAGAGTGTTTCAAAGTACTTCGTACTCATGTTGGGAAAATCTGTTTTTGCAGCATTCTAGAAGTTCTTTCTGTCTGATCGGACAGCCTGGAACATTGACAAATCTGGCTGGTTGATTTAGTTTTAGTGCCTTCAGCTTGAGTTTAATTCCTCCAACCGCCTCCTCTGGAATCACGTGGTCTTTGGGCCAATAATGTCACAGTGAATGACGACCCACCAGCTGCCTGTCAAGTTCAATGAGGCATGAAAAAAAGCATCCAGCGTCTTCAAATACCCACCATACAGGGCCTGAAATGGTTCAGCACTTAGGCCTTGTAGCTGTGCAGTTTTACCAACACTTATTTTTTGATGACACTTAATTCTCTCTGGAGAAGGTCCCGCACAATGTCTCGGTCACTAATTACACAGTAAATCTGATCTTCTGCACTGCTTCTCTGTGCTTCGGTTTCCTTCTGTCCTCTCCTCCCTCCCCCACGGTCCTGCTATAGAAAGAAGTCAGGTCTCAAACCTTTCATTGGGGGTGTGTGTTTCAGGACAGCTGCTGACAGCTCAACTGAACTTGAGGAGACTCCAGTCTGACAAAAGAGGATCTTTGTAGGCAGCTCCTATCACACCACTTTGTTGAAGTGAGGAGGCATATTGCAACTCTTTCTTAGTGTTCAGCTTGATGGAATGAATTCATGTACCCGTCCATCCTATGGTTGTGCACAGTGTTAACTCCAGCATCTTCAAATGTCCTGGAGGATTACCGCCTGACTGCTCTCTTAGCTTCAGTTCTGTAGGGACCACTCATCTGAGCTCCTGAACACCACAGTTTTCTCCCAGTTGGGCCTTTGTGTATGCAGCGAGTAAAATAAGTATTGAACACGTCACCATTTTTCTCAGTAAATATATTACTAGAGGTGCTAATGACATGAAATTTTCACCAGATGTTGGTAACAACCCAAGTGATCCATACATACAAAGAAATCAAACCATAAATGTCCAGAAATGAAGTTATTTGTAATAATGTGGAATGGCACAGGGAAAAAGTATTGAACACTCATACTGAAATTTATCTAATACTTTGTACAAAAGCCTTTGTTGTCAATGACAGCTTCAAGACGCCTCCTGTATGGAGAAACTAGTGGCATGCATTGCTCAGGTGTGATTTTGGCCCATTCTTCCACAAACAGTCTTCAAATCTTGAAGGTTTCGTGGACCTCTTCTATGAACTCTGATCTTTAGTTCTTTCCATAGATTTTCTGCTGGATTCAGGTCAGGTGATTGGCTGGGCCATTCCAGCAGCTTTAGTTTCTTTCTCTGAAACCAACTGAGAGTTTCCTTGGCTTTGTGTTTGGGCTCATTGTCTTGCTGAAATGTCCAGCCACGTTTCATCTTCATCATCCTGGAAGATGGAAGCAGATTTTTATCAAGAATGTCTCTGTACATTTTTCCACTCATCCTTCCTTCAATTATTTGAAGTTTGCCAGTACCATATGCTGAAAAACAGCCCCACACCATGATGTTCCCACCTCCAAACTTCACTGTTGGTATGGTGTTTTTGGGCTGATGTGCAGTGCCGTTTGACCTCCAAACATGATGTGTATTCTGGCATCCAAACAGTTCAATGTTGGTCTCATCTGACCAGACTATATTCTCCCAGTATTTCACAGGCTTGTCTAAATGTTGTGCAGCAAACTTTAAAGGAGCTTCAACATGCTGTTTCTTCAGCAGTGGAGTCTTGCGTGGTGAGCGTGCATACAGGCCATGATGGTTCAGTGCATTACTTATTGTTTTCTTTGAAACAATCGTACCTGCTAATTCCAGGTCTTTCTGAAGCTCTCCACAAGTGGTCCTTGGCTCTTGGACAACTCTTCTGATCATTCTTTTCACTCCTCTGTCAGAAATCTTGTGAGGAGCACCTGGTCGTGGTCTGTTTATGGTGAAAAAATGTTCTTTCCACTTCTGAATTATGGCCCCAACAGTGCTCACTGGAACCTTCAGAAGTTTAGACATTCTTCTGTAACTGATGACATCATTATGCTTTGCAACAATAAGGTTGTGAAGGTCTTGAGAGAGCTCTTTACTTTTACCCATCATCAGATGGTTCTTGTCTGATACCTGGCCATCATTTGGGACTGAACCAGCTGATATTAACTTGCACTGACAAGGGGCAGGCTTGCTTTCTAATTACTGAGAGAGTTCAGCTGGTGTCTTGGTTTTCCATGCCTTTTTACACCTCCCTTTCTTCATGTGTTCAATACTTTTTCCCTGTGCCATTCCACATTATTACAAATAACTTCATTTCTGGACATTTATGGTTTGATTTCTTTGTATGTATGGATCACTTGGGTTGTTACCAACATCTGGTGAAAATTTCATGTCATTAGCACCTCTAGTAATATATTTACTGAGAAAAATGGTGACATGTTCAATACTTATTTTACCTGCTGCATTTCAAAATAAAAGTCTGATTTAATTCAGTTCATATACAAATCAAACTTTTGCGTGGGAACGCAAAACAATATTACGAGTTAACGCAAAAGCATTGCAAGGTAACGCAAAGGTATTGCAAGGGAACGCAAAAGAAAAAAATCCCCCCATGTCCCCTCGCGGGCTCCGTAATACATGTAAGAAGTCAAAGTAAAATGTTGGCTGAAAAATATTTACTAAAGTAAAGTATACTAAACTCTCTACTTAAGTGAGGTAACAAGTATTTGTTTTAATACCTTTGTTACTTGACACCTCTGGCTATAACTCAGTCAATTTGACAGATTTTGAGTTAAAACTTGGTGTGGTGTTAGCTGAGTCCCTCACAACACATACTTGGAGCGCTGACCAATCACATGAGAGCTTACAAAATTGCATGAGCTTGTGCAGAATGTCGTCTTCAAGGTTTAAGCAACTATACCATTACTCAGCATGAGATGATCTTAATTCTTAGACAATGGGTGATTTGCATTTCTTCAGGGAATGCTAGGACTTTGATTGTTTTGCCACGTGTTTTCAATTTTGCTTGTTCCTTTTGTAATTAAATAAAACTAAAAATCGAAAGCTGCAGATGACAGTTCATCGTTTTACCAGCAGGAGGACAGCTTTAGAGCTTGGCCTGTCCCCAGAGTTAATCCCGCTGCCCTTAACACTTGGTGATCAGCTGCCGTTTTAGTGGCAGGCTACTCCTGTAACACCACACATAAATCACACACTGCAAAACCAATCACCTTCTTGCTCCAAATCTAATATTCTGCCTGCTAACCAACACCAATTCCTTTGAGCTGCACAGTGTTTTCCTTGATGAGCAGTCAAAAAATGCTTACGCAAGCAGGTCTGAAGTGCTACAATTTATAATTTGGCTCGTCTTGCGTGTTTTACAGCTCGGCCCTTTCCCCCCCGAGCTAAGAGACTGCCAGCAGTTACAGCTGCTATTTTTATTGAAGTGTCAATATTTCCAGGCTAATAAATTGCAATGATAAAACACATGTCATGCTTAGGTATGTTTACTTTGCACATGATCTATGTAGGATTAAATGTAACAGCTCCACACCTCAAAGGTCATTTATTACTTAACTCCAAAAGAAGTGCATGCTAGTATTTCTTAGTTTCACAAAATGTTGAAACTGTTTAAGGCTTAGCCTGCAGCCTTTCATGTCAAACATTTCAAGTAAAATGATCTAAATCCAGCAGTTCTAGCTGTTGTGAGATCTTGTGAAATGTGACAGTTCTCAAATAATGTAGCGAGGATGACTCTCAGCCACTACTATTGCAAATCTATCACAATCTGTAAAATTGACCAATTTATAGCCATTTTTTTGTCTTGGTGAACGTTGTTATGCTCTGGTAGGCATTTTATGGTGGATGACTTTAAAAGTTAATCAGTTGTACGTGTTTAACCAATGGTTACTTTCGGAGACTTTCATTATAACCCCTGTAGTTTGTCAGATAGTTTGCTAACCGACATTCACGATTGACACCAACAGTTAATGTCAAACTTTTAAGCAAATATATTGCTCAATATGTAATTATCCAAATACACATTGGTCATGACTCTTGACTACTACCACACCAATTTCTTGCTCAGCCTCTGTAAAACTGGTTGCCATTTTTGTGATCGCTAAGATCAGTTGGCTGTGGTAGTCGTCTTGAAGTCAGTTAACTCCAAAAGTTAATCAGCTGTGGATATTTAAATGATAATTACTTTCCAAGAAGTTCAGAAAAACCCATACTGTGATTCATGAGATATTTTGATATTATTATTATTATTATTATTATTATTATTATTATTATTATTATTATTAACAGTGTTGATATGCTGTCAAAACCTATCTGGTGTTAAATAAGTTCATTTGATCATCCTCTGCATCCAGCTGAGTGTCTCTCCTGCTGTTTTTCTTTCCTTTTTGTGGCCTTGAGTGTTTCCTCTCTGTTTCTGCCATTATGACTAA